GTAGAAAAATAAATAAAGATTTCCAAGAGAATTTACGTGTTTGAAGAAGGCTGAAAAAGAAGGGCCCAGAACAACAGTTGCTGGTGCCATGGTAACACATGGAGTTAAGTGTGTGCTCGATGCTGAGTACGCAAATATGCTAGGTAATCTGTTGAAAGGTGGGAAATAAAGCAGCTATTAACAGTTATAAGACAAGAAAATATCTGTATGTTTCACAAACCTCAATTCTTTGAAAGCGTAATTTCACAGTTCACCAACTCAGTATAAGACTTAAAATGTGGGCTGGAGAGATGGCTCAGCCATTAAAGGCTAGGCCCACAACCAAAATATAAGACTTGAGCTGTATGCCTGCTGTCATCATATTAATAGCCCAGGTTTGAAGAGTGATGGTAAATAGTGTGAGGTGTGAGAAATTACTGGCTCCTGGAAGAGTTTGCAGAAGTCAGATCAAAAGTACAAGATACAGATGATGGGAGGTTTCAGAATTAAGGTTGATGTCAAGGATGGGTGTTTATGTTCAATAAATAGAGAGTATGTTTCAAATACTCATGTTAACATTCAAATACTCATGTTTTCAAAAATGGCCATATATGATTACTAAATATATATTGACACATATGTGCAAAACCAAAACCATAAAATCTCAAGAAATTAACAAAAACATAAAATTATACACCATGCATTATGAGTATCAGTCTATGAAAACAAAAGGAAAACTCCCTGCCACCCCCCAACTTAGCTCTATAGCAATTTTATAGAAATCTTCTGAAAAACTTCAAAAGAAGAAACAAATGTTGAATTATTTCAAAACATCACATTGAGAGGAATGCATCGGAAACTTAAAACATGACCAGAAAAGTATCTGGCTACAATGTGGAAGTCATATTTTTATTCATTTATAAGAAAACAAGAGGAGAAGAAGTGAATTTGGTGTTTATGTTGAGATTCTTCAGTAACATTGACAGGAATCCGAAAGACTAAAAGGTCCCCAATAGTAAAGGAATTGATGAGTACACAAAGCCTGAAGAGTGAAGCCTTGTCAGTAGAATTTGGTGGGAATTTGGGGTTTTAAATGAATTCTGTATCTTCTGCTAAAGTACAACTTAGGAAAGATGAATGGATACCTGAATAATAACTAAGGAATCTGCCTCCTTTAGGGTAGTTTTATGGAAAGCTATATGTAAACATCAAAGAATAGCTAACTTTGTGCTTATGAAATAGTTTTGCAATAGTTGGGTGTGTTGGCACACACCTTTAATCACAGGATTTGGAAGGTAAAGGCAGGCCTATCTCTTGAGTTCAAGGCCAGCCTCATCTATATAATGAGTTGCAGGCCAGCCAGGACTACACAGAGAAACCCTGTATCAAAACAAAAAGTCTTTTGCAGCAGTGGAAAAGATACAATACAAAAGTCCTCATTGAAAGAGCCCATGTAACTATATCCACTATATGAACTCTAGTAACTACTGTACTCAAATTTTAAGTTTTAAACTCTTAAGCTATTAGGAAGCCTCAGTCAACAAAACCATTTAAAATGGGTGTTCTCCAAGGATCCAAAGGATGCTTTAACATATACCAGTTGATTGTATTAGTTAAGGGAATGCTAGTATGATTGTTCCAAGAAAAGTTGAAATAGTGTTTGGTGAGATTAAACCTTAATTCTCAACATTCTTGGACACTTCCAAGTTAAAAATCCTGATTCACTTATGTCCACTTATGTTTAACACTGTCTAGATAGCCTCCCCTGTCCAACATGTGTTGCAAAAGCATATGCCATTGTCATGCAGCACCCACTTTAAGATAGTGTTGAGAATGTTAAGGAGTATTAAGAGTTGTTAGTAACTAGCAAGAGCTGATGAGTTGGGTTTGAACAAAAAACATTGACGAATATGTTTGAAAAGCCTTAACTATATATGCCAAGTCTTCAGAGAGAATACAAATATAAGAGAATGTAAGGCTGAGGCTCAGTTGGAGGAATACTTAACATCACTTACAGCAAGTCCTAGGCTGGGTCCCCCAGAATCTCATAAAACAAAGCCTGGTGGTCCACACCACAGTCCCAGCACTTGGGAGGAAGAAACAAGAAGATCAGAAGTTCAAGGACTTCCTCACCTACATAGCTAGTTTGGGACAGTCTGAGCTACATAAGACCCTGTCTCAAAGAAACAAATGAATCAATTGTAACAGAAAAGCAAATGTAGCACCAAAAGTAATTTGGTGCTATTGTAGGTAGAGCTAAGATTTTCATTATTATAAATCAGTGTTAGCATTTGCCAGAGAAGCAGTTTGCTGGGTGTACTTTACAAAAACCAAGTTGATCCCCATCTCCAAGATTAACCTTTTCTTTCTCAGCTCTGTGAGGATCCCCATACTGATGGTGGTGGTGGGTGTCTCAACGCAGATTCCTCAACATTGACACATCTTTCCTATGCAAAGTAGTTCCTAGGGATTGTAGTATGAAAGTAGGTGGCTAGGTGCTTTGTGTGGCCCAGGCACGTGGTTGTAGGCTCTGTGGTTCCCAGGAGAGGAGAAAGCTCAGCTATGAGGGTCTAACAGAAACCACAATTCCAGTCAGGAAAGAAGTTGAGCCCATATAAATCAGCTCAGGAGGAAAGACGGGAAGGCCAAGGCTTAACACCTCCAACACCAAGGACTCCTAGGACAGGAGTCACATCATGCCAGAAGTTCATGAACCGGATGGACCAGGGTCAGTTCATCCCAGGCCATTCACGAGCCGTGTGATCCTGGACAGTTAGTTAGCTTGACCTGCCTGAACCTTGATTTCATTACCTGTAAAATGGAGCAAATAGTAACTCAGAGAATACTTGGGTTGTCAGAGATTGTGTGTGTGTGTGTGTGTGTGTGTGTGTGTGTGTGTGTGTGTG